ACACAGGGACAACGATCTCCACCCCCCCCCCCCCCGTATAGCCTTAACAGACTGTTGGGGCAAGTGCCATTGGCGAGCACCTATTAAGGCCGGCACGACACACGAGGGGAGGGGGGGGCAGTACCAGCCCGCCGTTTACGCATCGCGCCGAGTAATATTTTAACCGGCCTCGCGGCCGGTTAAAATATTCGACACGTGTCGGTCGTGATTGGGAATCAAACTCAGGTCGCCGGTTTCTTAGCGCAGTAAGCCGCGCACATTCGCATACACGCGCTCTCGCTGTGTAACAGGATTAGTTGATGGGATATCGGTCACTTAATCGTGTGACCCGCTGATTGACGCGGGATCACGAAATGGCTAATTATTAAAATGCCAGCCTCCTGCACTATACGCCGCATGCATTATACATGAGGCACTTAGCGCGCAAAAAACCACCACACACAGCGCGGGCAGCAGACAGCCAGACAGACAGCAGCAGCAGCAGCGAATGGCTAATACGGTATCCGCCCCTAACCACCTGGCTATGTGAACGAGTCAATGACTTTATGCAAAATGAGACGTGGGAGAGGAGAGGGATGTGAAAATACCCGCCCGGGCTGTCCCGGCGAGCGATTTTATTTATAATTGTTGTTGTTGTTATAATCGCACGAAAGGTAGAAGCGCCCCGCACGCTTTGGTAGATATTGGGGTTTGTCTGCTCGGCTCTTCCAGAGACGGAGAGATGCGCCAAGCATCTCGCCTGTGCTTTTCACCGCCGGTTGCACTCGTGCGTGGCCACGTTCCGCACAGACCGGCAAAGGCGCCGCTCAGCACTGTCGAGGGGGGTTGGGGCGGGGGGGGGGTCACGCTGCCGCCTGAAAGGTCACCGTCGCTAAATTGTCAAAATCGAAGCAAAAAGTTGCTGCTGGGGCGGTGCCCGGCGTCGCAGCAGTTGGGGTGGGGCGGGGGAGGGCGCGCTGGGATGTTGAGCAGCTTGCCGAAGTGTGCAGCTACAAAGCGAATGTGAATTGGCATCGGTCGAGAGAGGCCGCATGCAGACCGATGTGACGGTGGTTTTGTGCGAGGAGACGCACCGTTGCTTGGCTGTGTGTGTGTGCCTGCACGACTGGTGCAGGCACACACACACACTCGTTTCAATGCAACTGGTGGATGAGGACCTCCGCCCACGCCATGCAGGTCGCCGGGGGTTATCTGACCATACTTGACCAAGCTGGTCAGTGTGGGTTTGGTGAAGGTGCAGGCGAGCATAGAATGTGTGGGGCATAGCAATACCGTAACATGCCGGCTGTATAAGCCCCCTGCTTATTAGAAATCATTTGCACAAGCCGCTGACCTTTTCTATGCTTGTTTATTTTCTCTCTCCCAGTTCTCCCCCCTTGAGAGACGTATGGTCTCTTGGGCTTGCACCTGGTTGTTATAAAGGACATCTGTCTTTATCACCCGTCGGGTTAAAATATATATTGAAAATCTGTACAGCTGCTTAGGCTCCTATTACTAACACAGTAATAGCTAATGAGTGACATTTATTTTGGACAGAATGTGCTGTCGTTACAATCACAGGGATTAAAGCACGTGCATTAAATGGGATTTCTCGTATAATAATATGGGCTGACATAAGTGGCACATGGCTATTTAATATAATCTGTGATACCGATACAATCATTTCGCATCATCCTTGAATCATTGACCCAACTAAAACCACATCGTATTCACTGAGCTTTATTTCTTTTACATGTTGTTAATGTGTTTAAGCACGCACCGAATAAAATGGGAGAAAATACTTATGGAAGAAGCCAAGTGATTTCTCCGGCTTGCCAATGAAGACCCGTGGAGTGACTATCAATTCATGCGTATGCCACACGTACTGCCCAAGCCACTGCTGGATGAGGGCCTCCTCACGCCGTGCAGCTCGTGACAGTTATTGTTCATTCGTCACCACTCGAGTTAGCGCGGGTTGGGCGAAGTGGGTCCAGGTCGGGAATCGAACGTAAGTGGGCCGGTTTAAATTAGCGCAGTCGCCCCTTAACCACCGCGCGCCACCGCTCCATCTCCTGTGGGATAGTACGGTACAACAATGGATGTTGTTCCATTGTCAACTGCTATTCAATGTATGCATGCTAAACAAAATTCGTTATCATTTCACTTAGCGATTCTGTACGTAGACCTGCAGGCTACAGCAGGTGCAAACAGTTCCCCCTATTACTGAAACCGATCTTACTTAACTTACATACTGTGTTTGGTCCCTGCAGCATCAATAATTCATGGCCCTTGAGCTCTGGGCGACGTTCGTGTCTCCCTGTGCTTATTACAACACCGCCTGTTAGAGCAATGTCTCTAACGCCCTTAGAGCCCGAATGAGTTGTCCATTAAGTCGCGTAGGAGAGTTCAAATTGTAATCCACTTCGTTAGTGTTTATCGATTAATCTAGCATATTTAAAACAGGGCTTCCTTGATATTCTGCCTCCCGAAAGCGGAAAACCCCGAACAAGCCACGCCCAGTGTCACGCAGCCGATCATACTGCGATGGCAACGCCAAGATCTGCCCATCACCTCCCGTCCAGCAGCACTTAGAAATCGAGCGGATACTTTTTCCCAACTATTTTAGTTTAAACCATGTATCGAGTAATCGATTGTTTAAATAATCTGACATCTCACCTCCAATTTAGCATGTAATGCCCTTGCAGCAGGAGCAGCAACTCAAAAGGTGGACCCGTGTAGCTTTGTGCCAATTATTGTTCTGTGGCAGACTGAAACCGCACCTGCTCCTTGCAGCTCTGTTCGGTACGCAGGATTTCAGCCCAGGCGAACGCGATGTCTTGGGACTAATCCAGTCGAGGTGTGTCTACCTGCTCAAACGAGCAACGGAACGTTTAGACACTCATTCACATGAGCTGCCCTGATCCAAACGTAGACATTCTACATTATCATGACGGGAGACAGTCATTCCATTGTACTCCAGCTGGAGGCTTTAAAACAATGCTGTACTCTCGGCGGAGTAGCTATCGAGCGTGCAGGCAGTGTGACTGCACTGGCCTCCACGGTTCAGAGGTGCGGGGGGAGGCCCAGACGGGGGGGGGGGGGGGGGTTAATTGGATAGGGCCCCCCTCTTGAATATTTGTACCACAGCCGCCGCCAGACACACTGCGTCGAGTTGATGCTCAACTGGGATTTGAATTTCGTTCACTGTGTGATTATGTACACACACACATGCGATCAATATATAGATACCCAGGTGTAATAACAAGGATATAGAAAACAACGTTTTCATTAAAAACATTTTCACGTCTCTCACCAATCTCAATACACTTGTATTGAATTTTTGAACACGCTCCCGATTCGCTTTGTCTAACATAGCCGGTCGGATTTGCTGACAGTATCCAATGGTGTGGAGGCTAATTTAAGCGATTAGTGAGTTATCTATAAATGGATCATCCTACGTGTGTATCATTGGAAGCGATCGTGCAGTGGTTAGCGCTTTACACTATGAACCCGGCGACCCGAGTTTGATTCCCGCCGACAGCTAATATTGGCGACAAATATCTGCACCGGGAAATAAGCATTACGTTGGTTGACTCAGCCTTCAATAAGCATCTACGTTTCGGTGTGTGAAACATATCAGCATTGGGGAGACAAAGGCGGCCGGGCATAGTGCTGGCCACCCACCTCCTCCATGTGCCCTGCCGGCCTTCATAGATTCTGACTAGCAGCACTTTCCCCAACAGTCTTATACGGTATATGGGGTTTCTTTGTCTTTGTGTGAATATATACTGTGTAATGAAAGTGGCTCTCAGGAGTTTTCAGGGACTCATAACGAGCTTGGGGAGCGATGGAGAGCTTCCAAATGCAGGTCATGGACGTGTTTCAGGATCCGGCTAAGGGACCTTGATCTCACTGTCTGGGGCCCGTCCACCACCACTTGTGGTTTCATCAGCCTCAATTTATCCACCATCCTTGCCAATCACCAGGAGCTCCTCACCTGTGGGCCCTGACCCAGAAAAGTGCTGAGAGGTCGAGTGCAGAGGAAGTGATGCGATTCGCTGGGAATTGAATCACCATCGTTGAGAGTAAACAAGGCGGACGATAACTTGGTAATTCATAATTGGTAGGTAATTTCAACGCTTTATGTATATTTAAAAACAATTATGCGCGGGGCGGGGGAGGTCTATGAAGGATGAGGAATGTTTTATGTGCTCTACGCTGACAATATCTTTTTTTAAATAGAGGAAATATTAATTTTGTCCATGTGTATATAGTGTACAGCACTACATCAACGCCTATGAGAAAATCGCCTGCAATGCTCCCGATCTTGTCAGATCTTGGAAGCTAAGCAGATTTAAACCTGGATCTTGCTTGAATGGGTGACTACCGTGCACAGATTGTCAAAGCGCTTTTGGGAGGCTACGTTTTGGGCAGTTGAAGGCAGTGCAGCAACAACAACAACAAAAACATTGTTGTACCGTATGTCTATGCCTTCACGTCCGTGCGTTTCACCTTTACCAACCTGCACTGACCAGCGTGGCAAAGTATGACCACAAAATAACACCCACAACCCACATGGCACGGGGAGGCCCTCATCCAGCAGTGGGTTGACAAAAGGGCTGTCATATGTACAGGTCTACAAAGACAAAGATCCACCGTATAGCCTTAAGAGACTGTTGGGGCAAGTGCTGTTAGAGAGCACCTATGAAGGCCGACAAAGGCACACGAAGGGGTGGGTGGCCAGCACCACGCCCGACCGCCTTTGTCTCCCTGGTGGTAATGTTTACACATCGCATCAGGTACTCATTTGAGGCCGAGTCGACCTAGGGGAGGGCCAGGACCGATTCAAATAATTGATCACCGTTGTTGGCCGTGAGTGGGAATCAAAACTCGTGTCGCCTGGTTCGTAGCGCAGCGCGCTTTAACCGTTGCACTACCATTCCCCCATACAGGTCTACACGCACGTGGCGAGGCTGTGCCGGAGATGTGCGCGTGATGCTGTGTGTATGTGCGACTGGCAGGGCGAGCTGCTCAATCCGTGCCGGTGCAATGGCTCTGTGCGGTGGACTCACCAGCCGTGCCTGCTCACGTGGATCAGTGAGCGCGGGTCATGGTCCTGTGAACTGTGCTACTACAAGTTCCGCGTGCGGCCCGTCAACACCAAGCACCCGACACAGGTGTGTGTTTTGCGCACACGCAGACACCTCGGTCATCGGCTTATGTGGCCCATGGAAAACCTGCTTAGGGGCCGTCCATAAATTACGTCATGCACCTCGGGGTGGGGGGGGAGGGGGTCAGACATTTGTGACGATGTGTGACGATGAGGGGGGGGGGGGAGTTTGAGAAATGTGACGTCACATCAAAATGTGCAACTTTAAATAAATATAGACAACACGTTCTACTTAATTAAATGAACTTTAAAAACAAAAAAATCTCTCCTACAACATCAGAGTGCAGCGCTACATTAAATACGCACTACAATGACAATAGTTTAAAGCGATTTGAACTATGTTTATTTTTTTGGGGGGGGCAGAGCTTTGTGACGTCATATTTGAGGGGGGGTCTGAATTTTTGTGACGCCGTGTGACGAAGGGTGGGGGGGGGGGGGTCAAAAATCGTCCAAAATCGCGTTACATCGTTTATGGACGGCCCCTTAAAACATATGAAGAAAGGCTATACTTTGTTATGAAGAAGGGCTATTTCCCAAAACGTTGCATGCTATACATTTTTCCTTTTAAGGATGTGTGTTATTGACGAATGTGTTCAATGTGTTCATTCTTTTGGGGTTATTTGTGCTTGTGTACCACTGCCGACGCATTGTGACCAAATAATTTGCTTAAACAAAATGCTGCTGGCAAACATTGGTCGAGAAGGCCAAGAGGTTGATGACCCTAAAAAGTTCTTGTCACGTGGTAAAGCAGACCATTGTTTGTCCTTTTTTTTCATTTTTTATTACCCACAACCCACCAAGATGGAGCACAATAAGGTTGTGCAATGCAGGGCTCGATGAGCTGCAGGTGTGGCACGGGCACCATGGCACAGCAGAGGGCGTGTTTCTGCCCGAACACCGAATTCCGTTGACACGACGTCCCTCGTCGTTGTTTCCAGACAACCGAAAGAAACGAGCGCCGATTTTTTTAAAATATTGCTTTACGAGGCACATGAACCGGTTAATCCAGTGGCGGCGCCAAGGCTTTAGCAAACTAAGTAAGAGCTTAGGGCCCCAACAAAGCTCCATTGCAAATCTTAGCAAAGATAACCATGTAACATTACAAATGATAATTTCCGACATTACTATTTTGTCTGTCTCTCTCTCTCTAGTATCTCATCTCACTATATCCCTAGGTATTGTCTACATCTCTTCTGTTATCTCACGAATTTATAATCTATAGGGGGATGTGGGACACGCATTATTTATGCTCAGGGCCCCCAATGGGACAGCAGCATCACTCTCAGTTGAGCTGCATTACAGATCAACCAAAAAGCGTCATGTGCCCATTCATACAAAGTTTAACTACCATTGCTATAAACAATCAACTTTACACATACAGGCCCCTTTGTCAATCCACTGTTGGATCAGGGGCTTTGCCACGCCATGCAAGCAGTGAGGGTTCTTTGACCATACTTCACCACGCTGGTCAGTGTGTGATGGTGAAGGTAGTGGGGACGTGCAGAACAAGAATTCGCTGCAATGTCCTCTCCTGCCTACAATACCTATTGAACCCGTCTCTGCGCATGGTGGGCACCCACGATGCAGGTTCAACCCTGCTTCACTTCCGAGGTATGAACGAATCGTGCGCATTGTAGGTTATTTTGTCAACAGGAGAGAATAAATCATCCATTAATGGAATTGGCCAAGCATCCCGATCCAGAGCCCTCATAAAAAAAATTGGCCGAATCCACATTAGGCTTTTCTACAAAAATATTTTCTATTACATTTTATTTATTTCTGTACAAAATTAATCAGTTAAAACAATCTATAGATCCCCTCCTACGCGTAAAGTTGCCACATGGGCCACCCATTATGGCAAAACTACCGACACCCTAATTTCAACAACAAAAACTATTAAAAACAAGTGCAGCATCTTGGCTGCACTTAGCAGTCGACGTTAATTACCTACTTACCACTAAGCTTTCCCCTTGGACAATCCTGATTGTTTAGTGGACCAATTGCACACAGTACAGGGCGATTAATACTCATAAATGGTACATTCCCTTTACAAAGACACTGCGACCAATTTACGATAAAAAGACTCCAGCCTCTGAGATAACAGCTGGCACCATCACAGCAGGACATACCAGTGCACGCCTCTGATCGAGAACATTGGAGGCAAGGATTGGTGAACCACGAAGATATTTATTCGACACCCAAGCCCACTGGGCTGTGAGGATGCCTGTGGGATAGCAATACTTAGTGGGTTCCTGAACCCGTCTGTGTATATTTTGTGTGTGCATCCCCTTATATGAACAATGGGTTTTGTCTGCGTGGCTCTGGTTTTCTACCACTTGGAACATTCCTTAAAATAGAAATTAGCCAAACATTTGAATGCAGGACCCTCCTGAAAAAAATAAGATTCTTGAGACTCATTGGTATTTTCTTTGGATAAATTGCATTGCTCTTTTATCTATATTCATTGGTTGCATCTGTAGCCAGAAAATTAAGGGGCACAAGATGTTGTAATGGCACAGTTCGTGTGGCATCACGTTACGTAGATTCTATGCCAATGGAACATGGGCATGAGCAGTCACTGCGCACAAAAATACCAAGACCAATATTCCCCATGTAGCCTTTACCAGAATTTTGGGGCAAGTGCTGTAAGTGAGCATATGTTAAGGTCTGGACGGCAACAGGACAGGATAGTGCGGCCAGGACCACACTTGGCCACATTTGATGTTTATACACCACACCAGGTACTCATTTAAGGCGAAAACAACCTATGGGAGGCTCAGAAATCTTTTAGATATCGCTCGCCACTGATTTTAGCCATGGCCAGGAATTGAACTCGGGTGACTGGGTTAATAACGTAGTGCACTAACCACTGCACCACCACTCTCAGCATACACACCAAGTATTGCAATAACACAGCCTACAGGGGATTCCAAAGACTGTGTCTCAGGGTTCATTATTAATGCCTGTGACTCAATAAGCCAGCGTGATGTTCGAACAGCACCGGAAAGCCACCTCGAATCGTTGCTATTACGATCATCATAAACACATCCCACCTTACCACTGATGGCCGTTTAACCCCCCCTCCCCCCATCACTTGATCCGTGACCCTTCGTGCCACCCCCGTCCCCCCCGTTAGTGGCAAGGGGTGTCGCTCTCGCCCATCGAGCGGGTTCAGGCCGCCGCGGTGTCCCTGGGGTGCCTCTTCCTGCTCGCGAGCCTCGTGTGGCTCGTGTGGTCAGGCCTGAGCCCTGCCGCTACGTGGCAGCGCCGTGACGTCCTATTCCAGATTTGCTACGCGCTCTACGGCCTCATGGACATCGTCTGCATCGGTGAGTGCCCGCACGGCCTGGCCACGAATCGGCGTTGACGGGGCGTCCCTCGTGGGTTGCTCCTCGATGGGGATGATTCATAATGGCCATGTCAGCGGCAGCACCGAGATCCTGGGTTTGAATTTGGGTTTTGACCATATGTGATTAATCTTGGTTGTCGCGTGTAGGGTCATGGTTAGGTGATGGTCTATGTCTGTGTCCACTCATCAATGCTGGAACAACAAACTTAGCAGAATGAATACTGCCATTTGCTTTGATTGCCTAGAGATAAGCACCTCTATGGCAGGGCATGAAAATGTGCACCATACGTAGTGTGGGTAAGATATTTTGGAAGGAACCTCAAAAATGAATTAACAACGAATCACATTCATCATTCGCTCTTCCTTCCCTCCGTAGTAGTTCTGCCATGTTATCCTTCCAATGTCTATACTCTTTGGTTCTTTCGGTAAAGTCACGTAGGTAGAAAATAATAAATCACGACGTTTTGATCGCAACACAAGCAACTGTCATCAGTTGAGACCAACGCAGCTGGAGAAATTATCCTTCCAATGTCGTTCTGCAACAAGGGGTGACTTTACATTGATTTCTGCTGGAGTTACCAATAAATGTTGCTTCTTCTGGTGGACACATTTGGAGAAAAAGGGAAAACTTGTTTGCATGTAATAGAGGCTTCTATGGACCGCCAGCGGGGCAACTGATGACCCCACCTGGCTCTACCCCAGCACGTCCCCGGGTCAGGTTAACACGACGGCTCAGTTTCACTCTTGCAAGGGGGACCTGGTCAACAGTGGTTAGGTACAAGCAGTATTTTTTTTATTACAGCAATTGATTATCATCAGTAGCAGCAACAGCCATGAACTATTCACTGCTGGATGAAGGCCTCCATAAATAGTCACCATTTCAGTCTCACGATGCAACAATCCATGCATCACCTACACACAACCTGATTTCGTCACTCTATCTCCACGGTGGACATATATTTCTATTGGCTGCCACTGTCATTATTCTCGACCTTCAATCGTCATCCCCTGTAGTGATGTGACTTGGCAAAGCCCACTTGCTTTTCACAGCCAATATGATGTCTCCAACTTGTGTATGCTGTGTGTATGTTCTCTACTCCCTGTGCTACTTGCTGTTAAACGACCACGCATTGTTATTACGATAGCGTGCACACGCTTGCGTTCATTCTCTTCACCTCATTTCCCTGGTGGGTTGTTGCGGAATGCTTTGATAGAGAGGTCGCTGTGGGGTCAGGGTCGCCGTGGTGCAGGTGGAGGTTAAAGGGAGATTAAACCGGCCACGGAAGGTCAGAGGTTCACTTGGGCGAGCCCCTCCCACCACTCCCCCGGCGGTTGGTAATTAACGACCAGAGTCCAGCGTGTTGACGCATCATCGGAGCGATCGGCCGATAGATCTGCAGTTGTGTGTGCAACACCGAGACCATGATGATCCACACAGTGAGGTATAGGTGTATGAGGGATGAGTTTTAGATTTTACATTTTCGAATATCAAATATATTTATGATTTGTTTGACCCAATCTGATATTTTATAGAGTATTTTAAGATTGAACTAATTTAATGTATTGTATACACTTACATATGTGATAATTAACTTTAAATATTTAACAAAGTCTCATCAGTAAAGCAATATTGTTAATATAAACATATCTATAGTCTATAGTATGTGCAAGTGGAATCGTGTTTTGTCAAATGTATGTCACGTGACATCGCTTTTTGTGGTAAAATCACATAAGTGGCGACATGTTAGGTTTTTGGATGATACGAACATTTCCTGTGGAGGTCTACTTTTCACATTTTTCCTATTAAACTGAGAATTGGGAACACATCGCTGAGGTGTGAAGCCTCGTCTACGTGAAGACTGTATAATGACCAACGGGTTATTCTTACATACTGCTCGACAAGGGCAGTTAGTGAGACTTTTAGAGTTGGCATGATACATGAGATGTTGATTTGGCCAGCAACACACCCGTTTAACCTTTGGATCCCCAGTGCTGATTACAATCTCAACTGGATTATTGCTTGAGACTGGGTCGAGCGGTGCTCAGGCAGGGTTTTTATTCCGATTGCCAATCTATGCATCATGGCACAGAATTGAACATGCATCAACAAGGTCATCGTGCATTTCTCTAAAAACACATCCACTGCATGTGGGCACAACACAGATCCCCCATGAGAGCCTCTAGGCTGCTGGGGCAAGTGCTGTTGGTGAGCACATGTGAAGGGGTGGTGTGACCAGCACCACTCTCGGCCCTCTTTATATCCCCAGTGACAATGATTATACACCACACTAGATACCAGGACCAGTTTAGATATTCGTCACTGATGTTGGCCATAAGCGGGAATCAAACTTGCATTGCTGGGTTTGCACCACAGTGGTTTAACCACTACCCCATACATACACGTAACCACACACACACTCTCTCGTGCGTGAAATACATAATTCATCATTAGCTTTGGCTACACAGTGCAGCTGCTTTCCCTGGTCAGGTCTTGCCCTTGTGAGCATCAATGGGCATATTTTTTGCGTTTGCTGCTACACATCAAATATTTACGATAACCACTGCGGCGTACGGCTCACGGCGCATGGCTCACGTTCAGCGAAAGTCCAATCAATGGCTCGCAGCTCCGATACGCAATCGAACCAATTTCATAACACCCCTCCCCATCCCCACGGAGCCCAATTTGAAAGCGTCCCGTTTAGTATGCACTCATTTATGCATCGGAGCGCATGTTGTAATTTACCAGCTAATAACACCGCGGCTGTCCTATTAAAGCCCCTCTTTCTTATTATTTCCTGGATAAAATCCAATATTGCCCCGTCCGTGTTGCGTTCCCAGAGGCAGTGTAACTATCGACTGTGCGGTGGACTCGAAAAATGTGGATGTAAAATAATTATAAAAAAGAGTGAGGTGAAATGCAGGTGGTATTTCACCGCTGCTTGTTCCGTTTTTTTCACGCCGTCTGTGGCTGTTTATGCGTAATTTGCCCCGAAGGCATCCGTGGGAAAAACTTTAATTATTCTCCACCGTTAGTGAATGATGTCGTCCACGCACACAGGCTATGTATGTACTACGTGCAGCAATTGAGCCCACCGATCGTTCATTTGACCTTAACCTTGGACCTCACGACGATGAGCTCGGATATGAACGCAAATCCGTTGTCTCATCTTAAACGCACAAGGCAGTCCCATTTCAGCCTCGTAAGGGATCATCAGCAGCCCAAATGCCTCTCCCAAGAACCGGTGCTCAAAGATTTGTCTGTACAATATTGGTCTGGGGAGTAAAACCTGCCTGGTAAATGCATGTTTATTATAGCTGCTCGCTCACACAACATTACCATAGCATTAACATATATTTGCTCCTTACAAGAATACGATGCATGTTTTGTTTTAAAATACATTTTATCTCCCGTTCACAATAATCCTGTTCTGTTTATCCGGTTGTGATGGGTCATGTCTTTAATCCAGCACTCTCAAGGTAAGGTTTGGTGGTTCTTGAGATACTCCAAAGCCGACTGGGATGGTGGGATGTGAGGTGACACAAGATATTGCAGTAAAGAAAGTGGGTTCAGGATCCCATCCGTGGGGACGTCTTATTGGGAGTGTCACCACCACGTACGCTTGGTTGGCTTGCTCTGCGTATTCAAGTTTAAAGCCGCTACACCCAGCGCTGTGTTTCTCTAGCAACATAAAATGTCAACTCGCTTCATTCAGAAATATTGAATTATGAAATCCACGCATTGCTCGCGTCGATTCGTACCGAGACCCCTGTGTCCCAGGCTGTGCCACTCGCACTCTAGGATGTGTTGGTGAGAAAAAGCATTTTAAATCATGGTGAGGAGTGCTCCAGTGATGTTGCCTTAGCGCTCCTTCATGTGATTTTGAAGTATTCCCTCCGGAGTGGATAATACGAGTGGCTATTTTATTTTGCAAATGGACAGTGGTGGTCTTAAGAAAAGCGACATACCCCCCCCCCCCCCCCCCACCATAGGAACGAGGAATTTCCCACCGCCAGTTCGGGACTTTAAAACGGAAGATGAGTGCCGCCAACACCACAGCTGCTGGCGAGAAGAGACCCAGCGCACGCACACGGCGCACGCGCTCTCAGGCCTGCACGAGAAATTTCTTTCGCAAAATATTGTTGCAGCCGCAAGTTGTTTTTCATCTCGGCATGGTTATATAAGAGCCAAGTATGCACTCGTAGATGCACACATTCTCAATCATGTTCATCCCAGGAGGAGCGTGGATACAGGTGCTGTGAATTGCAATCGCTGCAGTACAGAGAACTTCTGCTGCTGTTCACATTTATTTAGAGGCTTCATCTCTCTTCCACATAAGATTACTGCAATTATTTCAGTCCGAGACCACTCGATACACATGTATACACAAGAAGATGTCAAACGAAACAGAATAGGAAACCCAGCATGGCAAGAAAACACCACTCTTACACACTGTAATGAATGTGCCCAATATGTGGTGTCACCACAATACAAATAGCACGCTGAGATACCTTTTGCGAATTGCGTATATAACAATGCCTTTTTATAATGTTGTTTTCCTACCCTGCACACTTCCCCCAACTAGTTGTACTGGCACTTCAGTCCGAGAAAGTAGTGCACCAGTGCTGCCAATGGCTGCCCTCTTTTTTGCCAGAGTGGCACTTGCAGAACTCACGGATGACAAGACGAAGTTAAATCAATCCATCAAACATCATTTAAGTTGCACGAGCGACGTGCAACACGCACACGCCGTCTCTCCGGGCACTTTTCTCGTGCACGTGCCGAAGTCGACTTCACGAACTGACGTCTCGCCGGTTGCCCGACGCGCTTTATATCCCCGTTCGTGCCGTTATCGCACGTCGACAGTAAGCAAACGCGATCCTGTACTGACGACGCGTCGCTCAGATTACGCGGAAATTGCTCGTGCGTGGCGGGATTCGCACATTACAGCTCGCCGCCGGCACAAGCCACCCTTCCACGGC